ATGTGTGTTGAGTTTCGTGAATATTGGTTTAGATTTAGATATAGCTCCCATATATATTTGAGTCTAGAGTGCTTTGTGCTAAGTTTCGTGAAGATCCGTTCACATTTAGATATATATATATATATTCGCCCGTTGTTACATAAATGGTGCACCAAACTCCTAATGTTTTCCGATTAACACGAAATTTTGCATAACGTATCAAATTGAGACTTGAATGGCGTTAATGGGTTTTGTTGAAATTGGTGCAGATGCAGCATCCATATGTATTTCGAACGGGTGTCTGATTGAGATTAAATTCGAACAGTGCGGCGTACCGAATAGCGTGTATCAATTTTGCTATAAATCGTTTTCCATAAATTTGTCTCATGATACGCAGAAGACTCTAAATCTGCCCGAATGAAATTAAATTTATCATAGGTTGCAGAAAGACATGAGTAGGTTCCTTCGAGGAAAAATTGACATACAATTGTAAGCATACATATGTACTATATACGCAAGTGGTGAAGGATATCATATAGTCGGCCCAGTCCGAATTTACTACTTTCCTTACTGGTTTCGGTTCACATTGTATAATTCTTACCACAGATAATCAATTTTGGTAGGACCGTATATCGGTACCCCCTAATTTAATTGCCTCTAATTTTGGATTTAGTTTTCAGTTAAAAACCTGAAATTGATGAAAATGGAACTCACAACGCATAAACATTATTAAAATCTACTACAAAACCTACTACGACTATGTAATTGAAGCGAGGACATTAAATGATCTTTTGTCCGAAGTTGTAATTATATCTAATTCTCTGAAAACGACTGTCACCGTCAATTCGGAGCGTTATGACCATAAACAATTTGGATAATATGTTGTTTCATCAGCGGTGCCACATACCACACTACTCGATCGAATATGACTTTTTTTTCAATTTGTCATGCGAGTTGAATTTGTGGGTAAAAAAGTCTTCACAGAAAAAAAATATAAGTCTACCCATATAAAGCTCCGACCCAATTTTCGGGTTATTTGAGGTTACAGAACAGTTTAGGGAAAAAACTTCAATTTCAGATTTTACTTTCACGGTGTAAATAAAATAATAGGTTAGGGAAAAAGAAATCCATTATTTTTTTTGTAAATTGTTTAAAACAATTATGGTCGATTATTAGCTCCTGGGCGATATTACGACTGCTAACATGACGGTCAACTTCGATTTTTTCGACATTTTGGACGACCTCCTACCTGTGCGAGGTGCGTCTTTAACATCAAAAATTCCTGAACGGAATCTATAAAACCAAAGGGCACATAATTGGTTGTTACATTATCGGAACCATTGCATCAGAAGAAAAGTGTAAAATGCAACGAATTTTCTCTTTGTTCAATTCCATTTTTAACACCCTGTAACTCACTACTGAAAGCACAAAACAAAAAACAGCAAAATAATGTTTTTCCTGCGAAATGTCATCCTTCCAACCAGCATAAATCTGAAATTGTTTGATCGATACTTTACGAGAAACCTATCAGTATGGATTTCATTTCCCCAAACTAATACCTCCGGGCAGATAACTTACAATGACATAGTCCTCATACAAATGTTTCGACCGAGTTTTGGTATTTTTTGGCACGATCAATCACCAACGTCTATATTTTAGCATTTTTCATTCGGCCAAAAAATACCTAATGGTACAGTATAATTTGCCCCCAAAGATCCCATATTGTTCATCTATATAATCGTACTTAAAAATTATAGACTGTAAAGCTATTGTATCTGTAATAATATACAACTAATGCATTCAAAATGCACACCCACTAATTTTATAAGCGTCCATACAGAATTGCTAAACGAATGGCCAACTTCAGATATGACGAATTTATGCAACCAAATGACCAATTTGTTGTTGATGTTTGATGTGTAGCTGATTGTTATCGTCATAAAGATTTACACAAGAAATCATGTATGCTAAATTGATATGAGAAATACCTTAAAGGCATCAATCATGGAATGCTTCTGACCGTTTAATTTATCAAAGACAGAGTGTGAGAGAGACTGACTTTGATTTTGCTCACGTTGAAATGGCAATTTTGTTTTGGTTAGCCAGAATTAACAGAAAATTGGATTTCAAATTTTGGAATGATGCAAATAAGCAGAATAAAATCCAGCAAATTTTGTATGGAATAGTAAATTGATTTAAGGATATTTACCTTAAAGGTTCTATTAGTCATTGTCATATGAGAACGTATTTGTATTTGTTTAAATGGAAGGTTCATTAAATGAGTTTTGTGATTTTTTAGTTTTATATTGCGATAGATTCCCTTCCCTCGAGTTTAAAAACACTTTCTTTCACGCTTGAAATTTAATTATAGATTGAAAATAGTTTGAAAGTTAAAACTAATTTATATCATTTGTTTCCAACAAAATGATTTTTACTCATTTCTCATACTGATATAATATGGAAACCCTTCTGTCGTACACGATTTCATCGAAAAGATTTTTGTTTATCAATTTGAATAATTAATTCAAATATTAAATTTTCCATTGACATGTCTTTGCAACATAATCACGTTTGAGGATGATTGGCTTGTTGACTGTCTTACATTTTAGGGCCGTAGCAATTATTTACATTATAGCTGTCAACAATAATTTCGACTGATGGAAATTTATGCATTTTTGATTTTCATAAATATCTACATTGATATACGACGTCACCGAAAAGCACGGACGTACATACATACATGCATTCACCATACAATGATGATATACAACAAAGGTTAAGTTATGACAGTTTTATTGCTAGCTGAGGTCAATGAAGGGCTTCAAATACGAAATTTGGTTAGGAATGTGGTGTTTTGTTTTTTGTTAACTATGCCAGATAGAAAGATAAAATATCGAATTAAGATAATTCTTTCTTTAATCTTGTATAATATCTGAAATGTGGCTAATTAATAGCTAATTGCAGGCAATTATGCAAATGTTTTGTTTATAAAAATCAAATCGTTTGTATGTATATTGATAATAATGATAATGGGATTAGTATAATCCGATTTTTAATGCTATTCATTAGATAAGATATATATTAGAATTAAACGTGAATCAAATTGAAATTTAAACGTCAAATGAGAAGCACATAAAAAATAACAAGTTTTAAATTTGAAATGGAAAATTTAGACTCCTGCAGACCAATTCTTTCGGTTGATAACTCAAAGACTTAGCGATTTGGGTTTTGATTAGGTTTTTATACCCTTCACCACACTGTGGTACAGCGTATTATGTCTTTGCGCATATGTTTGTAACATGGTTCCTTTTTAGAATATGCATAGAATCACTTTCTCCGTTGATTTATGCATGTCCGTCCGTCCATGTATTTCTGTGAACAAAGTACAGATCGCATTTATGATCTGAATTGGATGAAATTTGGCAAAGGTCACTTATTTGGCCCAAGGACGAACCCTATATGAAATTTAGATCAGGGATGGTCCGTATGACGAATTTTAAGGTTTTCGACTGTCAAAAAGGTGTAAACGTCGAAAACGTTATATACCTGTATAAAATGTAATAAATGTAGTAAACGTCATTTATTTGAATATTATTACCATATAGAGTTGTTTTCAGTAGTATACATTATTTGTACATATATATGAGTATTCCTTACTAGAACTTATTAACAAATTTTAAACTTTTTGGAGAATAAAATTTGATATGGATTTCAGTAAAGCATACGGAATTTCCAAATTGATTAATAGAAATAGCTATTTTGTCAAAAACCTAATGGTTTTGCGTGGGTTTCCGACGTTTCTGACGAATTTATTATACGTCGGAAATGTATGTCATTTACGTCACTGCTTCTGACGGACCATCTCTGATTAAGATATAGCTCCCATATATATTTTCGTCCGATTTAATGAAAATTGTGTATCAATTTATATCGTCCGATTTCCACGAATTTTGGCATAGCGTAATGAATTATGTCCAGAATGATGTGTGTTAAGTTTCCTGGAAATCGGTCCAGATTTAGATATAGCTCCCATATATATTTTCGTCCGATTTTAAGCAAATGGCGTACCAATGTCCCTACATATCTTCGAATTGCACAAAATTTGGCATAGCGTAATGAATTATGTCTAGAATGATGTGTGTTAAGTTTCCTGGAAATCGATCCAGATTTAGATATAGCTCCCATATATATTTTCGTCTGATTTGAGGTAAATGGTGTACCAAAGTCCCTATATAACTTTCGATTTGGACGAAATTTGTTATAGCGTACTGAATTAAGGCTAGAATGACGTGTGCTAAGTTTCGTGAAAATTGGTTCAGATTTAGATATAGCTCCCATATATATTTTCGTCCGATTTTATGTAATTGGTGCACCAAAGCCCCTATATAGGGCACTAAATTAAGTCTAGAATGATGTTGCTAAGCTTCGAGAAAAGGTCCATAGCTAGGCCGATTGACACAACGTACTGGTGTAGTATAAATTAGTCTCTGGCAAGTTTCCCTGAAATCGGTTCAGATATTTTCTTTTCTATTTTGAAAATATTGTGGAGACTGCATGAGCCATAATCATAATATGGAAATTTTTATAGCCTCCACTATGAGTTTTGGTGTATATGAAATTTGTAACACCTAAAAATATTCGTTGGAAATCCGATTTAGCCCTGTCAGCCTATCTATCTAAAATCACGATAAATGTCGCAATATTTAAGATAGAGCTTTGAAAATTTGCACAGACATTGTAATATAAAGTTAAATAGTGGATATGGCGTGTATAGGTTTAGACCATTTTTGAAAATTTTAAGTTCCTTGTAGCATTGTCCGAATTGTTTGTTATTTTTGGAGATTTAGAAAAATCGTTACAAAAAATATTTAATGTAAGTCCAATATTTTTGAAATGTGGTGGACGATATAAAAAGTCCGGCCTGCCTAACTTAACTAATTTTGCACTCATTTTTTTAATTTATAATAAAACTTACTTTATGTTCTCTTCCATAACATTATATAATGAAATGCTTTACTTACCTTAAATTATTTAACAGAGGAAGAACTTTTAAACCTAAAAAAAATAAAAAAAATATTGATTTAATTAAATGTATAATATAAGTAAATCTAAAAAATACGAAAGTAATCAGAACAAAATGAGATTTGTTTAATTCTTTTATATCCGGATTGAAAATTACCAACACATTAAAAATATGTCCATCATTGTCAACAAATCTAGATAAACCACTTGCGTCTGGCCCGGAGACACAATCATACAAATAAATTACATTATCAATATCAATTAACACATTCATGACATGTGCTGGCTGGCTGACTGACTGACTGGTTGACTGGTTAGCTAGCTAACTGGCTGGCGGTCTGGGTGGATAAATAGATGGCTGAACGGACGCATGGTGTTCAGATTAATAACAAAAAATATATTTTTCTTCAATTTGAAATTTTTGAAACATGTTGTAAATGTCATATGTGTCAAAAATCCAAATGATGGAGCCAAACGTCATGATACATGCCAAGTGTCAGATGCATTGTGTGGTGACGAAAAAAACGGAAATTCATCCGTCGTTTTACAGCAACAATCAGTGTTCCGGGGGTTCATGAACTTGCACTTCTGTTCTGTGTGTTGTTGATGAAAAATCACACAAAAGAGGGACAATGGGTATATGGTTTCCCGCAACACTTTGTTGCATGCATCATTTGACCAATTTCTTGGAAATTCACTGATGAGTGTTAAATGTCGAGTGACATTTGGTTTTGTGGTTCGCTGGTTTGTGGGTTGGTTCGTCATGCATTTGCATTTTATGCGTGCTTTGAATTGGATTGAGAATAGCCAATTTAAAATTGTGATTGTCATGGTTATAAGAATAAAGTATAAATATTTATGTATATTGAATTAACATAGATGAGATGTACAATTATAAATATGTATGTAGGGCAATTATTATGCAACATTTCCTAGTAAATTCTGTTCACATTCAGTTTACAAGAATTTCTTTTGTAATATTTGTTTCATTCTGGACATCCTACTGTGCAGATTTATACAAATGCATCACGTTTTCATTGTTTTCAATTTAAATAAATTAATTTGCACATCGACAAAAAAGATATATTGTTAAGCTTATAAAGTGAAGTTGATAAAATATGTTACTTCGTTGAATGCTAACGAAAGACGTTGTTATTGTGACAATCGCATATATGTACGTAATAATGGGTATCATCACATGCATATAATTACATATGTAAGAGGAATTTGGAAAAAAATTCCATAAATTTGATGTATAAATTTGGTATGCAATTAATGAAACATTCGAATTTTAGGCTTGAAAATAGCTAAAATTTGAGTAGCTTATGAATTCCTATAAGTTCCTATAGGACTCACAATAATGAACTGATTATGTACTTTCGAATGACAAATCAAATTTTGAACATTTTCTCTGAAAAATCTATAATGTATTTTTAAAGTCACTTTTGTTCTACAACCGTCTTAAAAATACCGAAAATGGGGCTCAACTTTCCAAAACATGGTACAATATAGGTGGGAAAATGCGGCTAAAACTTTCAAAATACTAAAAGTGAGGGGGACTTTATATGGGGTTTGTTATTGCAAAATAGTCTGGCGTAATCCCATTTTGTTCTTGTTATAAAACAACAATTTATTAGTAGGGGTGCTTTTAATTTTTTATTTTTCGATATATTTAATGTTTTAGCCTTTTTTGCCGAAGTGACTGTAATTTGGCTTTCCGGGTTTTATTAACAATTTTTTCGCAAAAAAGTATGGTTCATGTTCTTACATAGCCTTCATATAAATATCCTGCGACTTTTTCGTTACTTTAAATGTTTCATCAGCATTTTTCCAATGAAGTCACTGCGACTTCGGTACAGTTACACCGATAAAAAAAAGGCTAAAACATTAAATATATCGAAAAATAAAACACCTTCACTAATAAATAGTTATTTTATAACACCCAAATATTGGGATTACACCAGCCTATTTTGCAATAACAAAATATATGGGTTATATAAATTGACCTATATAGAAAATGTTCCGCAAATGCCAAATTATGGTGTAAGAGAAAAGCTAAAACCTTCCACATACACAAAATGTGAAGGGACTTTTATACTTTGACTATGTTACTTCAAGGATCTTACAGGTGCAAGTTTTCTGCAAAAACTCTTTATTACTCTCTCAAAGACAAATTAGAGTCACTTTAATGACTTCAATATACCGAAAATGAGGTGGAATCTTTATGTCTTTTCCATGTGTGGGCCATGACCACGGTAAATTGTAGGTAGAAAGATTTGACAACCCAAAATATCAAATTAGAACCATATCGTTTGAAATAATAATAGGGATACCGTTATATGGAATCTTTCATGAAACTTTTGTCAATATTGGTGTGGAGATTTTTCTACCCAATTAGGATCCAAAGTATTAAACTGCATACAATGTCGTTGAAAAAAGTGGCCGAACATAATAAGTGGACCAATATTGAGCATTTTTGGTATGAGGATTATCAACTCAAAATTTCAAATTCTGTGGAGTAGGAGAAAATGTCTCAAATTACTGGAATATTGGATGTGCTTTAAATATGGTGATATACCAAAATATGGACCCATATATATCTCATATATAGCGTGTTTGGCTATACATGGCTATATACCCCGTTTGCAAACATCCTAAAAGTACTACTAATGTCTATACACAATTTCAGAACACTATCTTAATTATTGCGATCAGACATTTGAAAATCGACATATAGTATTATTCTGATTCCGATATTTACTTCAAAGTATTTGACCCTCTTGTTTATCTGATCATCAACGAAAATTATAGGCTTTGTCCTTGACCATAACTGGACCATCATGGGAAATTTTAAAGCGATCAGCTCTCTAGTGTGGAAATGGGTAAGTACCTGTAAATATTTAAGCGTAGCTCCCACATGCGAGTAACATGCGACAATATAATTGGTCAACCACTCCTCTTGGATATAGCACCAACTTATCGGGTCTATATCCTTCAGAAGTAAATATTTACGCCATAGAATATAAATTTTGTAATGTTTCACGCAAATTTAGGGTCCATTTGATACGCTAACTAATGGTCGATCTTTTTCGAAACAGGCATGACTATTCTTTGGTCCGACCTCTTCTCCATGTAAAATTTCGCGATGTTCGGGCCATAAATGCGGCCTCTAGAGCGACCAGAAAAATCGGCAAAAATTAAGTATTAACTGTTCTCTACCAAAAAAATAGGGGTCTTCATTGGCCAGAACCCAACCTACGTACTAAATGTCGTGAAGATTTATCCATAACTGTGGTTTGTATCGTGATTACAAATTATAATGGACGGATGGACACACATGTCTAGATCGACTCAGCTAGTCGAGATATGAATATCGGTATACTTAAAGGTGGCCGTTTACAAACTCTTGGAGCTGCAGAAAGATATAATACCTTGACAACATGGTTGTGTAGAGCATAACAATATAACGGAACCACTATTTCGTAAATGTTTTCTATTTATTGTTAAGTTGTTAGTATTTAAGGCATTTATATAGATCTGAAAAAAGAATACCACATTTAAAATGGCCTTTGGAATTAAAGTAATAATGCAAATGTCGATTTAAAATGTAATTGTAATTTTTTTTTAAATATGCGGGAAAATGTCTCGCATCATTCTTCAGTAATATTTGTTCGTGAATAAATATTAATTTCAATTGATTTAATTAATTTTAGTTAGTATCCATCCAAAAGAAATTAATCGAAACTGTTTACATCAAAGATAATACCACAAATAAGCATTCGTTATTTAGCATTGACATCAAAAGAGGAGCACTTTATTAAATGATGCTTATCGGGACCCTCATCAACGTCAAAATGCATAGCATCTGTTGAACACAATTTTGTTTGAATTTATTTAAAAAAAATTTAATTAATCGATAAATATGCACGAAAAAGCAACAAAACTATGTTACATTAATATTCCCACTACTTGCCTTATTGATAATAAAGTGTTTTTATACCCTTCACCACACTGTGGTACAGGGTATTATGTTTTTGTGCATATGTTTGTAACAGGCAAAAGGAAACGAGATAGACACATGGTTCCTTTTGAGAATATGCATAGAATCACTTTCTAAGTCGATTTACGCATGTCCGTCTGTCCGTCCGTCCGTCTGTCCGTCCATGTATTGTTGTGAACAAAGTACAGGTCGCATTTATGATCCGATTTGGATGAAAGTTGGCACAGGTCACTTATTTGGCCCAAGGACGAACCCTATTGAAATTGGGAAAAATCGGTTCAGATTTAGATATAGCTCCCATATATATTTTCGTCCGATTTAATGTAAATGGGGCACCAAAGTCCCTATATATCTTTCGATTTGCACAAAATTTGGCACAGCGTAATGAATTAGGCATAGAATGATGTGTGCTGAGTTTCATGGAAATCGGTTCAGATTTAGATATAGCTCCCATATATAGTTTCGTCCGATTTTATGTAAATGGTGTACCAAAGTCCCTATATATATTTCGATTTGCACGAAATTTGGCACAACGTAATGAATTAGGCATAAAATGATGTGTGCTGAGTTTCATGATAATCAGTTCAGATTTAGATATAGCTCCCATATATAGTTTCGTCCGATTTAATGTAAATGGGGCACCAAAGTCCCTATATATCTTTCGATTTGCACGAAATTGGGCACATCGTAATGAATTAGGCATAGAATGATGTGTGTTAAGTTTTCTGAAAATCGGTTCAGATTTAGATATAGCTCCCATATATATTTTCGTCCGATTTAATGTAAATGGTCCAACAAAGTCCCTATATATCTTTCGATTTGCACGAATTTTCGCACAGCGTACTGAATGAAGTATAGAATGATGTGTGTCAAGTTTCCTGAAAATCGGCTCAGATTTACATATAGGTCCCATATATATTTTAGTCCGATTTAAGGTAAATGGTGCACCAAAGGCCTTATACATCTTTCGATGTGCACGAAATTTGGCATAGAGTACTGAATTAGGTCCGGAATAATGTGTGCTAAGTTTCGT